TACTGAGGAGTAGGGGTTTGGGAGATGGCTTAAGCATGAGGACCAAGTTCAGATTCCCAGTTCCCATGTAAAAAGCTGTAATCCTAGCACTGGGAGGTAGAGACAAGGGATTCTGTGGGCCCATTCTCCCACTAGCTTAGCCAGTCAGTGAACTCCAGGTTCAGTGACAAACCCTGTCTCAAAAAATAAGGTGGGAGCTGACAGAGGAAGATGCCCAACATTCACCTCTTGCCTCTACATGTGAACATGTAGAGTGTGTACATGTAGACATGCATGCATCGCCTGAGTACAGGCACACAAACACACACACATAGCCTGAGCTTCCTTATTAATGAAGATGGGGTTTAGTCAAAGATTTCATGGGCAACCTTGCTGAAGAAAAGTTTCAGGGGAGTACTGGGGCTTGAGAAGGAGGTGAAAGAATCCACCCAAACAAGCATGGCACTCTCTTCAGGAATAAGAGGGAGAGACCTCGAGGCTGAGGCAGGGACACACACACAAAATTTATCTATAATAAATGAGCACATTTTATATGTCTTTTCGGGAGTCTTCCAACACAGCTGGACAGGGAGGGTACCTAGCTCATCGCAACTAATCAACAATTCCTCTAATAAGTCCTTTTCACCCCTCCCTCATTCCCTGCCATTAACCCCATCTTGAGAAAAACAAGCTCATATTGTACAGAAAAAATGTTGAAAGCCTGGGGAGAATCCAGAGATATTTCTACTTTGGGGGATGCATGGTAATAGTGATTAAGTAGTTAAGTGGTAGATGCTTAATTGATTGTTCTTTTCAGTCTACTTGTAGGAAACAATGTACCCTGAGGGTGTACAGGGAGTATCCACACATCTCCTTCTGGAACTTTCCCAGTGCTTCAGGGGGGTGGAACTGGATCTGCCATATTTATATGGCTCCAGCTTTGGCAGTTTGGAAGTCACTGAGGACATGTGCAATAAATTCTCTACTGCCCCCCAAAACAAGGGAAAAAACAACTGAGCAAGCCTCCATTTCTAATGGGGATGGTGAAGCAAATCTCAACACCATGGGCGGGCTGTCAGGCTGACAAATGAGTCTTCTCTTTTGAAAGGCACTCGGGAAGTTGAATTCAGAGGCTCCACTAGAACAATCACAAGCCAGAGGTAGGCTCCTCCCACCTAGCAGCTGGGCCTTTTCATTTTGAAGGTGGAGGATAATGTTTCTTGTGACCCTCAAGGGGGATTCCCTCCATATGTTGGAAACACAGCTAAACACCGAAACAAAGAGAAAGGGTGAGAGGCTTCTGATAGGAAAACCTAAATGTCAGTCACACCAGTGTTAGCAACGGCCTGTGATGCCGGCGCTGGACATGGTTTGATAACTTGTTACTTTCACATGGGTTTACTCAGTCACCAGGATTCTATAGCTGCTTCCAGCATATAATCCATTACCTGTCTCGGGTGGTGGAGGCTCTGGGATATTGCAGGGGCTCCTAGAGAGCTGAGCTACCCAAGGCAACATTTTTCAGGCAGGGACATACCTTTGTTTAACTAGGTTTAAGGAAAAAGCACATTTAGAAAAGTAATCTTTGCTTTGGTATTTAGCCCATGAGCTAAATATGTGTAATTATGTGTGGGTGGGAGAATTTTTACTATATGAGGGGACTTTCCCACTCGGAGCACTGGTTCCTCCCAGTCACAAGAGCCACTTAGGGCCCCTACTCTGGAACCAGTTGTCCTAGCATGAATCTTACTGACCTGCCAGGAATGGGCTTTCTGTTCCATTGTCTTGTCACCTCTGGCCTACTTGCAAGGTTTCCTTGCACTCTGGGTTGAGATAACAGTGTCTTGGCTTAAGAATGACACAGCCACCATATTTCACTGGTGTGCCAGAGTAAGCACCATCAAGAAAGAGGATCACTTCCCATTGTCACGGGGAGACCCAATTAATCCCCCGAACATAGTCCCTATTTCAGAAATGACAAAATGAGAAAAAGCTCACTTAGAAATGAGAAAATGAGAAAAGACACGTGCCATCTATGAGATTCAATGTTTGGGCACCAGGGTCCCTTTGGTAAAACGAAAATGTACAGTCAATCACAAAGTTATACTTGGTTTGATGGGATTTTTTCCCATTGTTAAAGCCAACACCCACTTGTAGCTTCTAGAAGAGCAGAAACTGGGTCTGTATTGTTTGGCATGTTACCCCTCCCCTTGCTGCTTCCCTCTCCCCAGTAGCTGCTCAACAAATATTTGCTGAACAAATAAATAAAACAAAGCCACGTTATGAAAGACATGAAAAGCTGGAAAAGAAAATGAATCATTCATAATTGCCCTGCTGTGGGTATTTTGGCTTATTTCCTTCAAGTCTTATTTCCCGTGAATATGCTCTTTTCTATACATGTAAACATAATGTATTATTAGATTTAGCTCTGGGATGTGTTTTTGTATTTCTCTATTAATATGAATGAAATGATGAAACGAGATGATGCGGAAATGCATTGAGGACTGTAAAATGTTTAACAAATATCTTGTTATTAGTTATAATAAGCGGAGAAGTACGGAAATGAATGAGGCTGACTCGCCATCAATACTCTGCAATACAAACAGCCACTCTGCCCTTGGACGCTGCAAATAGGTTTCTCTCCATCCTGCTCACCATGGGGAGCCCCTCTGTCTCATCTTGGTAAGAGAAACACTGACTTAAGCTTCTTAGGAATCATCTGCTCCAACTTCCCACCCAGCCTAGAATTTTCTTCCATGTCACGGATGGAGGATGAGCCTGGGAGGAATAACCATGTCTCTCAGTCTCCTGAAGAGCAGCCGCAGCCTCCACGAACATTCTCCTTCCTAACCTTTGCTAGTGGAGAAAGAAGTTATGGCTCATGTGCTGAGGAGCATGGCTCAGAGGGCTGTTGCGACAGCCATGATAGGCACATCCAACAAACCACGAAGTCGGGTTTGCTTTAGACAACAAGTCACAATCATCCTCTTTAGCATCCAAGAATTCCCCGGCACATCTATTGGTCTAAACCATGCTTGGTTCTTTGAGGCCATGTGGGCTTGTTCCTCCTGCACAAAGGAATGCTGAGAGAGCTCCCTTTGCTCACATTCCCCACTCTCCACTGGCTTTCCATCTCAGCCTCTGTAGACTTGAACTAACAGTGACACAGTTTCTGACAGCTCATGGCTATATCCTTAGGGCAACTCTATCCCCCCCTTGAAATGGTCACCCTGAAAAAAGCAAAGTTCTGTCAAAAGAATGAACCTTTCAATTTATATACACCAGAGGATGTATGGGGACCAGTCTCCCAGGCTCTTTGGGGAGGGGAGAGGAGCCCCACTTTTGCAGCATTGGCAGTATAACCTGATGGGTTTCACAGGGACCACACCCAGTTTGTGTTTCTATAGTTTTTCACTTCTCTGACTCTGCTCAAGTCCTTTCGGTCACCTTTCTTCATTGTCTCTCTAACTCCTGACGATCTCTGTGTAAGTCCATGCCTATGACCATCCACCCTGGACTCTTGGCTCTGTTTACATCGGCAGAATCCAGGAGCCCACTCAGGCTGCGAGCTTAGGCTTCAGGCTCTCTCTAGCTGTCTGTCTGTCTGTCTGTCTGTCTGTCTGTCTGTCTGTCTGTCTGTCTGTCTGTCTGCCTGCCTGCCTGCCTATACTGGGCAATCTGGATTCTCACTCTCCTTGATTGTCACATCCTTAGTCACAAACTTGGTCCAGCTGTCCATCGAGAGTCTTCTTGCCCTCAAGAATACTTTCTGTTTAGACCACTTACCTCTGTCTCTGGGGACTGGAGAGTCCAGGATAACCTCTCAGAATCCATGCGCCCCCCCCCTGCCAAAAAAACTACCATCCCTGCTACACACTGCAGTAGAGGCTGACCTTGGCCTCAACTAACTGACCAGGTGTGTGCACAGAATAGAGTATGCATGAGCCAGTCATCACTAACACTTCCTCAGAGACTTAACAAATATAGCCTGTCTAATGCTGGGTGTGGTGGCACACCCCTTTAATACCAGAACTCAGAAGGCAGAGGCAAGCCGATCTCTGTGAGTTTGAGGCCAACCTGGTCTACAAAGTGAGCTCCAGGACAGCCAGGGCAGTTACACAGAGAAACCCTGTCTCGAAAAACCAAATATATTTATATCTGTATCTAATATTGATGGATCTAAAACTAGTTTTTAATTCAGAATACGACTTTATAATGTAGCTAAAGACCTGTGATCAGTACCAAGTGAAAGACAACACCAGAGTCAAACTCTAATAGCACGACGGGCTAAGTGTGGCTCCATTTTTATGTTCTGGAACCATTTCTCCCTCAGCAGGAGCCTCCCATCACATACTACTCTGCCTCACCCAGTAAACTGTCTTGGGTTACCTGGCTGGGGACTCTTTTTTAGTCCAGGCAAAGCAGACAGCAAACATTCAGGAAGTTGGAGAAAGAAACCCTGTCTTTGGCTGTTCTGCTTTGAGACTGCTTCCCTACTGAGAGGCTGAGAAGATTTCCCTTCTGAGATGTAAAACCCACTTTAGACATGAATGGTGCCAGCCCTCTCCCTCCTTTACTGCAGATCCTGCTGGCTGGGTGGGGCTCTGCCCAGGGCTACATCAAAGGATGGTGGGAAGCTCACAGAAGAGGCTTCACTCTTCTTAAGTAGGAAGAGCTAGCAACTGTGCCAACCCTTGTAGGCTGCTTTGAATTTCATTAATACAAATGTTAAGACTATCAAACCTGGCTTAGCAGTTTGTTTTCGCATACACTGCCAAAAATTAAATAAATGAATAATAAATAAAAAGAGTGGTAGAATGTTCTGAGGGAAAGAAGAAAACCATTCAGTGAAACAAAAGAGTAAGTTTCATTTTTTTGTACAGGTGATTTTAGGAGTCAACAGAAGGTTCTGGAGAACTGGTGAAGGCATTCACTTAGTATTTTTTCATTTCTCCTCCTTATGCTTTTGAGGTAGCTGGACTAAACTGAGGGCCCATGATCTGGGGAGCATGGGAACTTACCCTCTGCTCTTGTGTAGCCACGAAGGTCTGGAACCCCGGAGCCACCCCAAAGCCCAGCTCTTGGATGAAAGGCGGCTCAGACTGACTGTGGATCTGAACCTTCACTCCTGCTTCAAACGTTGTTTCCTCTGAAAGAACAAACATGGACAGAGCCGTGGGTCAGGGACAGCAGGTGCTCATGGGGTCCTGGGGCTGGGGAGCTCTTGGGAACACTAAAGGTATTGTGCTGTAGGAATGATGGCTCCGCATCTGCAGCACTGAACCCTGAGCCTGTGACTTTCCGCAGAGACATCTTGAGATAGAGGATAACCTGCTTTGTGCGGACGGGCTCAGTGCAGTCATAGGGTCCCTGTGGGAGGGGGCAGGGGCCAGAGTTAGAGGAAGAAAGCAAGGAAGTCATGCTTCTGGCTTTAAACAGGGAGGAAGAGTCACTGGCTAAGAGATGGATGAAGTTTCTAGAAGCTGGAAAGAGTGGGAGCATGGATTTCCCCACAAAATCTCCAAAAGCAACACAGCCTTGGTTTTATAAGCCTAGGAAAGACCATTTCAGAATTGTGACTTTAGAAAGTGTGTGTGTGTGTGTGTGTGTGTGTGTGTGTGTGTGTGTTGTGTGTTGGTGTGTGTGGTACTTTGTGTGTGTATGTGAGCAGCTCACCTGTGTGGGAGCCTGTGGAGAGCAGAGGCTGAAATCAACATGTCTTCGTCAGTTGCTCTCCATATCATCATCATCATCATCATCATCATCATCATCATCCATTATTATCTCTCAGTGAACCTGCTGCTCAGTATTTCTGCTAGGCTGGATAGCCCCTGAGATCTAATTGCCTTTAAGCCACTTTGACACACAAGTGCTGGGGTTACAGGTGCACACCACCATACTCAGCTCTTTCATATGGGTTCTGGGTAATTGAGCTCATGTCTTCATAGTGGCATAAGTACTTTACCTACTTAGTCATCTCCCTAGCCCAGGACCTTAGAACTTTTTATTGCATTTATGTATGAATGTATGTATGTATGTATGTATGTATGTATGTACGTACGTAGGTTGTGCTCATGTTGCTGGAGCGGAGCATGCACCAAGGGGATTGCATACGTACGTACGCACACACGCACTGATCTATCTATCTATCTATCTATCTATCTATCTATCTATCTATCTATCTATCTATCTTCTTGAGACTAGGTCTCACTATGTAGCTTTGGCTGTCCTGGAACTCAATCTGTGGATCAGGCTGGTCTCAAACTCACAAAAATTCACCTGCCTCTGTCTCCTGAGTTCTAAGATTAAAGCTGTGTGCCACTACGCCTGTCTAGATTTTTTTTAAAAAAGGATTTGCCATTATTATTTTAAGGTGTGTGTGTGTGTGTGTGTGTGTGTGTGTGTGTGTGTGTGTGATGTGCACTTGGGTGTGGGTGCTTAAAGAAACCAGAGAAGCTGAAGTTGAAGGAGATCATCACTGTACACTGGGGGTGCTGGGTGCTCTTTCTCTGGAAGAGCAGTGTGTGCTTTTAACCAACGAGCCATCTCTCCAGCCTGTGACCTTAGAATTAAAAAAAAATGTGTTTTTCTGTTACAGCCAGAACGTGAATCTAATTTAAGTCAATTAGGCTAACTCCCTGTCTCAGTCACCATTTTTGTAAAATGTGATTATGAAATGAGTAACATCCCTTCCCAAGTTCCCATCCAGTCTTCTGGATAGATTCTCCAAAGCTCTTATATTTTATTTACTAAATTCTTTACTGGGCCATGAGCTGATGTTGAGAATGTCAGGAAGAGAAAAACTGTATAGAATTAGAAACAAAAACACAGGGCTTGCTTGAATGCCTGCCTCCTCTGAACTTCAAGAGATAGGCAGGCAGAGCAGAGGCCACCCTGACAGCTTGGGTGGGAGAAATGGCCCTTGGCAGTAAGAAGGGACTGGAGAGGCAGAGCCTGGCTTCTCAGTAGGTTGTGCTCACTGTTGCTGGAGCAGAGCATGCACCAAGGGGATTGCATCAGCTTACAGATGAGGTTCTGAAGCACAAACCTGTATAGCTCTCCCTTTGCTTATGAGGACCCTGGCTCTGCAGCCCTGCCCTCCCACCCCCACTTCCAGCCTTGCTCTGGGCACAGGCCATGTGGTCACACCTCCCAAGGCTGCCTGGATTGGCTGTTGCTGGTTCCTGTGTGCATAGGCACACAAATCTCCTGCCTCCAAAGTCCTTCTGCGCTGTCCATCTGATCCTTACCGTATTTGCCTTGAAGAACTCAGAGCCTCAGCCCCACCCAAAACTACTCCTTCTCTTGTGTGGTTGTAGTTCCTGTATCCTTGTGCCAGAGCGTCTACCGCACTTCTGTGACTGTCCTTTATCTGTCTATCTCCTTCCTCAGGCTGCAACATCTTGAAGCCCAGACTTGAGCTTTGTCTGTGGGTCTCAGAGCTCTTCAGCAGGACACCCAGACACCTACTGAATGAATGAGTGGGTGCTCTGAAATTGAAGTGTATCCACTTACTAACAGGCAAGGCCACTCTGGGCTCCAAATTAAAAAAAGAAAAGAATGAGAGAATGTAGATACATGCAGAAGTGAGGGGGAGTGGAGTAGAGGGTGGGTACTGGGGAGGGCGGAAGGATATATCAGCGTTGGGTCCATGGCTTAGGAAAGGGTTGGGATGCATCAAAGCGGCCAGAGAAGAAACGGGCTGTAGGCAGCTACAGGGATATTAAGACTATAGAAAGTGTGGCAGTTACTGACTGAGGCAGGCTTGGCTTGGTCTGTGTTTTGGAGCTGGTAAGACTCCATAGTCAAGGGTGTATGGATAGTAGAGTCCAGCAGGCAGAGAGAACTGGAGAAAGGATAGGAAATACTCTCATAATTTAGACAAGGCATCCACTGGTCGATATGGGGCTCCATGAAAAGAGAACCTTTACCAGGACATGGCTTCAGATAGGGTTCCATACCCTGGGTCAGAATCATAGGCAAGCTGTGTATACTCCCTTCCTCCTTCCTGTGGTCAACTGTTGTGTGGTTCCCTCACCCAGATTGCCCTACCTGTGATGGTTTGAATGAGAATGGTCTCCACAGGCCCATACTCTGTCTCCAGTTAGTTGAACTGTTTGGGAAGTATTATGAGGTGTGGCCTCATTGGAGGGAGTGTCGTACTGGGTGTAGGAGATGTGCCATCTCCTATGAATGGCAGACAATGTGTCTTACTGATGGTGAGAGACAATGCCTCAGAAGAGACACTTCATTATTCCTCCTAGCTCCTGGCCTTACACATGGCTGGTAGATTCTCAATGAAGGTTTTCTTGGTCAGGGAAGAACATGGAGTGAGAGTAGGGTGCCCAGTGATCCACTTACAGCAGCTATGTTCTCTAACTTCTGCCCAAGAAAGGGAAGGAGGAGCTGAAGCCCAGGCTGAAGCAGTGGAGAACCATGGGATGCTGAAGCTACAGGGATCCTTGTGCTGTGAGGAAGTAACTGCTTTCAGGGAGTCCTGGGAAGGAACTGGCAAGCTGCCCGAACTTGTTTCTAGCTAGTTGAAGCTGCTATACAACTGGGTTTAGGAAACCTCCTAGCCAGTAAAGACAGGCTCAAAGCATGGCTTGTGGCCTCCAGGAAGAAATGAGAAATGAAACTTTTCTGTTGGAAACGCCATGAGTAATGGGAGAAACAATCAGCCTGGGGAGCCTGACCAGTGAGAGCTGCTGGGTTAGGGGTTTACAAGAGACCTCGGTTTATTTTAGAAGCAATAGTAGCTGTAGCAGAGAGTAAAACTAAAGCAACCTCATTTTATTTTACGTTAACAGCAATTGGATGGATGATAGAATGATAAGATGGATGTTTCTCTCTCTCTCTCTCTCTCTGTGTGCGTGTGTGTGTTCATTGCATTCATGCTATAAGTACATGTTTGTATGGGTGTATGCAAGTATTCATGCAAGCACACCTGCACTATGGTCATTGGGTGTCTGTCTTAATTGATCTCTAACTTATTTTTTAAAAAGCTTTTTTCTTACTCCCCCCCCCCCTGTGTGTGTGTGTGTGTGTGTGTGTGTGTGTCTATGTCTGTGCATGGGTATGTGGTGTACATGAGTGCACGTACCCATAGAGCCTAGAGGCATTAGATTCCTCCTGGAGCTGTAGTTATAGACTGGTTGCCAGTTGCTCAACATGGCTGCTAGGAACCAAATTCAATTTTGGGCAAGAGCAGTGCACATTCTTAACAACTGAGTCATCTCTCCAGACCACCCAGCTTAATTTTTAAAGACAGAATCTCCCATTGAACTGGAGCTCACTTACTTGACAAAACCTATATGGTTCCACCTGTCTCTGTTCGGTCAGCTCTGGCCTTACAGACATGTGCTGTTCTGCCCAGCTTCTGTGAGGGAGCTAGAGATCCAAACTCAGGTCGGCGCCATTGCCTCACAGGCCCTGTACAAACTGAGCAGTCTCCTCAGCTCCTGGTTTCTGCTGATTTAGACTAGCGCTGTGCAGAGGGAATGTCTGCATGGAAGGGACCATGCTCTGTAACCATGAAGTGTGTGACTTCCATGATGGAGAAACTGGACCTTTTATTTTAACTAATGGAAACAAAAGCCATTATGTGGCTAGTGACTTACTTGAGAACATGGTGGTGTAGCATCTAATCCTGAGCCTTCTCAGGGCTACAGGGATGAGGGTGATTCCACCAGCCACTATCCTGCCCTCTCCTTGTCCACACAGGTTCTGGGCTACTTGGGTGTAGATCTGAACAGCAGATATAAGTGTATTCATGGGCAGACCAAGCTGTGGTCCTAGGTCATCCAGCTGCATTTTCCCCAAGTTTCGTTCCCATGTCTCTAGATAGATTTTGCTTCTGTTTCTCCTTAGAGCTGTCCTTTATCTCTCTCTGGATTATTCTCTAGGTTGCTTGTGAATGGCAGCCCACTCCAGCCCCTGCTCCCCGCAGCCTGTCTCCATCATTTCTTGAACATGCCACTTTATGGAGAGCCGAGTTACCAAATACAGTTTGTTAGACTCTCTCTCTCTCTCTCTCTCTCTCTCTCTCTCTCTCTCTCTCTCTGTGTGTGTGTGTGTGTGTGTGTGTGTGTGTGTGTGTGTGTGTGACACTTAGGATCTAACACTAAAAATTCTGGGAATTTTATGGGG